TTTAAAGCGTAGTAACTAAAGGCTCTTCACTGAATGGTAAACTTGCGTAATTGCCATACCTGTCGAAGACTTATGACGATGGTCGTAAACATGTGGGTTCTTTCCCTGGAAGGCTGGCAGAAAGAGACTTTCATAGTCACGTACAAAATATCACTCAATTTTAGGAACTGTGGAGTACGCGATAGACTTACCTTCACGTGGTGCACCCTGGGCAACGTATACTCATACACCATAAAAGTCTATTAACTGACAGCTGACTTTTCATTTCAAACTACCATCACCCCACTGTATGTCATATTCCACCACTTTCACAGTACTCATCTTACCTTTTCTCTGCCTTTGTGTCTGCCTGTCTCTTGCATCCGTGAATCACTCTTCTGTTCCCCCTCTCGAAAGTGTCACACTTTGATGTTCCTCCCCTCTGTGAAGCCCGAAGTCAGCTAAAGGGCTAATGATAACTATCAAAACGCCTGCCATTTGAAATGAATAAATTTTAGGAATTGTCTTGGTACTTAAGACTGATTGGCTCTGATTTATTTAGACTATTTATTTAGTCTGTATCAGTAATTATGACAGTACAAGCATAATTCCGCATGTCAAAAAAGTAAATAATCCTTATTAGGAGGGATCCAAGGGAAGAATTTTGAGTGCCTTGGAATTTTTAAATAGTAATGAAGAATAGCATTTCTTATTATTATTACTTCAATCTTCACAAATGTATTATTATTCATAATCTCAGGTATATTTTGTATCTGAAGTAGTTAAAAGACAGTGGATTTAGGCTTTTGAAATAAGGTTTGATTGCACGCATCTCGCAGATGGCCACAAGTTTTGAATTTTTGCCATAATCTGGCCTAGCTTTTGCTGATATTGTCAAAAAAAGCGTGCTCCACTCAGTTTGACCACTTTTTCTAACATCTGAAAGAGCTTCCTTTGAAGAAAGAGGAATAGCTGATAAGGCAATGATGAAAGGCAACTGAAAATGTCTTCTCAATGCAAAAGAATGATCAAATGAAAAAAAAATGAAGCTAATGAAATTTAGAATTGCCTCCTGCTTACAGTCAGGTGTGGAGAAGAAAGGGTGAAAGTAATCTAAATCGTTTGCTAAGAAGATTTATAGAAAATGCATTATTCAGCATGTAGGGCAATATTCCAAAATTCCTACCGGAGCATGTGACAATTTACTCCATATCCCATTTCATCAGATAAGCTCAAATGCTGTAAGTCAACATTGGCATTATTTTAATTGAATATAGTTTCACAACTTTACTAGTAGCTCAAAGGAATTAAGGTTAACTCACTTGACTTCTCCACAACTTCATTATGTAATTCTAATGAAGACACACTCCCTTGAAGTGAGTTGCATCGATCTCGATCATTTTCACTGAACGCAAAGCTGATCTGTCTATTACCATGCGAGCCAGTTCCGGCAGGTGGATGAATGGTTTCTGCAAGACGTTGAAACCACATAGTCAGAACTGTCGTAATAGGTTTAATTTAAATTTTAACATTTTCCTGTACCATATTCATCAGCTGCTTTCGACGCGGAATCACCATCCAATCCTTTAACATTAGATATTTCTGTATATAATGAATTGGATTTATCCTTCGGATCAGCCTGCGCGAACATGGGCATGAGGATACTGAGCCGACGTCTAGTTGATTTCAGGGCGCCTACTGCAGAGGAGCCAGAAGCAACGCCGTGATTGCGCCTACCGTTAGCACCACTTTCCCATTGATTACTATGGTCACCTGATCGACTTCCTCCTGGAGTAGCACTGGAAACAGAGGCAAATTGTGCTCGGGTAGCGTGTTGATGGGACTCGCGTAAAAAGGTGGTTATTTCGTTGAGTAGCTGAACTGCCATTACGAGGAGAGCGTACGGGCAGCTATCTCCATTGGGGTTCACTGTGGCTGAAGACGAAAGGTGAAGACGAATAAGGTTTTCAAATTCATGGCACAAACCTCATATTTGAGCATATCTGAGAGTAAATAACATCTATGGAGTTAAATTGTTAAAATAGCATAGACGACTGTATTATATATATATATATATATATATATATATATGGGTTTCTCGAATTCGAACCCACTTCTTATTTACACGCATTTAAAATAAATTTTTATAAATAATTAGCTTATTTATTAAACAATGCTTGATTAAACAATAGTCGTTGAAACTGTATGTGTTCTTTAATATGAAGGCCTTACCATCGTCGATAAAATTCTCATCGCTTTGGAAGTCACGACTTAGGTAGATTTCACTTGAAGTAAGTCCATCCACAAAGGCCTGGATACGAATCCCAAGGGCCTGAAAGATACAACCCAAAAGCATTCAGGATTTGAAGTGATCAATAGCAAATAGGAAATGCGTTTTCAAGTTTGCCCAAAAGACGCAGCTCCTGTCTACTATTAAATAATCAGTGTTCACTGCTCCCATTTTGTGGTAAACAACTTTCCTTAAACATCCCCCCTATTATACCCCCGGCATTTCTTCCTAATTTCAATATTTTAGTACTGCTATTAATTAACTGCTATATATGCTCCTCCCCCCCCCCCCACTCGTGAAAGCCGGAGTCAACTAAGAGGCAAATGATAAATATCATAAAGCCTGCCATTTGAATTAATAATAATAACGTTTTAGTAAATGTGCAGCTCATAATTAATTGACCCAATTGCGATAAATCGGCTAGAAGCTTTATACTGTGGGTACTTCAGTTAACAGTTGCATAGTCCAATCGAATACGCTACCGTGTTAATATCATCCCAGTCCTAAATCATTCGAAGGGATTAGAGGAACAAATCTCCCTGCAAGTCTCATTTTGATACGTTTCAATGAGTGGTAAATTAATCATCCTTTCTTCATAATACGAGGCTAAAAATTTCGACAAAACAACCACACGTTTTTTATTATTTCACTGCTTTTAACTATTTGTATTTTGGGCAGATGTCAGGTAGAAATAACGCAGAGTTGAGCTCTGTCGGTCTCTGTCAGTAACATACCAAACGGAGGGGGGAGGTGGTAGGGGGGGGG